CAAGAGACAAAAATAAACTGAGACAATAAGTTGAAAGTTAACAATTGAAATGATTAACTGCTATTTATTAAAATCTTACTTTTAAACTATTTGATATTTACAATGTGTTTGTTTCATTTAAAATAAGAAAACGATACTCGTTTTTACGTTTGTGAAGCTTCTTCATTTCGATTGTTAATACGAATTAGCTTTTATTAAATGTATATTTTGTTGGTTTGGTTTTTTCTTATTTCGAGAATTTTTGCTTTTAATCATAACAATTTAAATGTTTATGGTAAAACTGATCCTGGATGGGAATTTGTTCATAGAGAATTTTATACAAGGACGAGATTTGGGAGCATCAATGGCAGTTTATTATGAAGGTATACCAGTTGTTGATCTCTGGGGTGGTTGGTTCGATGAATCAAAAAACAAACTTTACGAGAATGATACACTACAAATTCCTTTTTCAGCGACAAAAGGTTTAGTAGCTACAGCTGTTGCATTATGTGTTCAAAGAGGTTTACTTGACTATTCATCACCAGTTAGAAAATATTAGCCAGAATATGGACGATACGGAAAAGAAAATACAACAGTTGCTGATATTCTTCCACATCGTGCTGGATTACCGAGAGATATTAGTCCTTTCGAACTCGCACTAAACTGGACAGTGATTATTCATATACTTGAAGAAAAAAACCCAGAATGGATACCTGGAACAGCTCATGGATATCATGGTTTAAGTTATAGATGGTTAGCGGGAGGACTTGCTCGAAGAATTGATCCAAACAAACGAACTTTCGGACAATTCATTCAAAGTGAAATTACAAATCCATTAAAAATCGAATTTTATATTGGTTTATCAAAAGAAAAATATAATCGTATATCACCATTATATTTTGAGTGGAACAACTCTTTCAGAGTTAACTATATTCAATGATTATAGTTATCAGCAATCAGAAATTCCAGGTGTCAATGGAATAACAAATGCTCGATTTGTTTCAAGACTTTATGCTTCTTTAATGCGTGACGTAAATGATCAAAAACAAAAACGATTGCTGAATGAAGATATTATGAAGAAAGCAACCAGATCAAATACATCTAAGAATGAAATTGATCTCATACGAGGTTATTCTAATGCATTTTCAGTGGGATTTCAAGTTTTTGATAATGATTTAAAAACATTTGAATCAGGAACATTTGGTCATGAAGATTTATTTAATAAATATTAATCAAAATCAATTTATCAACTCTTAATCATTTTAGGAGCTGGTGGAAGTATTGGTTTTGCTGCTCCTGAAAAAAAAACTTGCATTTGCTTATATTGTGAATCAATATGGCGTCAAAAAAGATCGACAAGAGATAAACCTTGAACACAAACGATCATCAAGTATATTGCAACAATAATTAATAATAATCGTATTCGTTAAAAAATCATTTTTACTTCAACTTAAAAAACGTTTTCTCAAATAAATATCGATGCTTCATGTTGGAAAGAATGTTGCTGTTTTATCAAAAAAGAACAATGAATATGATCTCTTCACATAACAAACTACATTATTGATCAAGTTAATGTGCGAGTAATGATTGTTATCAACAAAAGTTCACCATCTAAACCCACATGCTGATTGTATAGTAAATAGAATCAGTGGATGTGCCGCTCAAATCGAACATTTTCCGTGAAAATCCTTTCCATCTCCATCTATAAGTAACTAATAGAGTTTGTCATCGTTTTCACTTTAGTGAATACAGGCCGATGTTCCACAAGTAACTTTACGCAAACGAAAATTCAATATATGTAGTATATTTTGATTAATTGGCCGAATTTTTTTCAAGAATAGACGGGACCTTAAAGTTTTATTTGTCATTACAAAGTCTTGAGGAGATATTTTGATAGAGGAACCCGTGGTGATCAGAGTCTTTTGAGTCCAAACAGCTTCCAAAGGATTCACTCGTTTGTGAAATGTGAACTGATTTATTGAGGTTTTAATGATTTTTTCCCCCTTCTGGACTCTCATTTTTCAATAACAGCATGATTTCAAGTTTTTGAATGAAACTTTGCCAAAACTGAGATCTCAACTAGACTAGCTCCTGTACAAAATTTCACACTTTCTTAATATGTCGTGCCCACAATATGTCAATCATCTTGAGAGCGGATGTGAGCAAGAGGAAATGAACACTCATACCCAAATCTACCCTCACCTACATATACATATTCTCATTAGCATTGTCTAGATCAATTTAAATGACATGGATTCTCCTACGTCCCTCGGCCTTCTCGTTGTTGTCATAGCAGCATTTCTCGGCTCATCCGATGGTCAATCATCGTGTGGATGCTACTGCTCAACAACAATATACAGCGCTACATGTCGTAATATACTTTCGATTTCGTGCAGCTCTATCACGGGGTAAAATCTTTAAATCGAGACATTTCTTTGTAAAATGATGATGGCGATGATGATAGTAGTTTCAGCAATGATTTTAAGTGCTGATGTTTATAATTTTCAAATATCGTTTTGAAGTATATGGCAATGCAGCTGGAATTCAATGAGATGGATTCATCGTGACTCTTACATTTGCTCCAATTGACTGTTTTAGGCGCAGACTCATCATTTCAATGTTCAAGTAGATGTGCTTATAGACTAATTTGAGGGTAGGTGTGGGTTATATAAGCAATAATGATCATCCTCATGAAATACTCCTTGGTATCAGATATTGGTTTTGCTCATCATTCATATCCTTGAATCGATCACATCGTTCTACTATTGAGAAGGTAACAGAACACATTTTCGAAACAATCCATGAGACTGTGTCACATCATCCAGTTTTTCGTACCGATACAATTGTTGGACAATCGCTTCATTGCAACAATCAAAACATTCCACGACCGCCATCGTTATGGTATCATCAGTCTACGTTCACAGCAGTAACGGTTGCACTACAACAACATGGATTACATCATCACGCTATTCACACCGATCGTGTTTCACAAAATAGATAAAATTTTGAATTCGATCAGCACTCGAGGGTGTATGCATACGTTAACATATATTAGACAGTTTGGCCATGGTCGAAACTTTAAGCAAGTGCAAAACCTACACAAAGCATTGATTACTCTATTGTAAATAGCTTTGTATTTGCAGCTCTGAAAGTCTCGATACACTGCACTAAAGAAAACTGAGTGCACTAGAATCTTCTACACAAAATTTCTATTCCGAGCACTGATTAATAAGTATCTCTTTTGTCAAAGTTGGCAGTTGGAGATAGTCAAATGCGGCGATTCATTTTTTTTATCTATCCAACGTTCCAAAGAACATTATAATTGTTTGCCGTAAATGGCGAAAAATTGCCTGTGATGCATATATGGACTGAGCGATTATCATTATCTCATAAAGGAGAACTCTAGCAATTCATCGTGCAGCATATCGTGGACGATGTGTGGTCAGTATTCTGCGTATAGGAAGCGATTGTCTTAGTTGTTCATTTTTGCATGTTAATGTTTAAGTTGCGTGACTTAACATATTTTACTCAGTCGACTCAAGCTAAATCCTTTTGTCAACTTATTTGAAATCGAATAAGAAAAATAAAGAAAGAATATAATGATGACATTTGATATTCGATATTTATTTATTCGGCATTTGGTTTTATTGCTTTGTTATTTTCTTTTCGCAATCGATCGACAAATGATGAACTTTACGAGAAATTCGTTGCTTGCAGCTAATACGACTCTCATTGAATATCAATAATCCGAAAATCTCTAACATTTCTTCTTGCTGCTCGACATTTAATCTGTACTATATCGAGCGAAACACGCGGGCAAATCGCTGTCTTTCTTCAGCCCAATGAGGCGAGTAGTTCTAGGAGCGCATACCTTTATGAGCAATGTGGTCGTTCGTTTGACGCGACTTATTCTGAAGATTCGACATTTTTCTACTCGATAAGCTTAGACTCGTGTCGATTTTTTTGTGCACAAGAACACAGTACATTTTCCGGTGTGCACAATTACGACTCGATCGTATCTATCATCAAACGTGTTTTTCTTTCGTAACACTTGTTGTCTAGAGTCCAATCAGGTGAGTTGTACGTGTTCAAACAGCACTTTTGTGTTCCCATCGAACAAAAGTCAACAAGAACGACTTCAAGTAGTTTTCGCTTTCTTAATTGATCAAAATAGAGAAAAGAAAGGCAACACCATCGATCAGCGATGGTCTTTAAAGCATCGAGGAAAAAGAATCAATTTCAGATTGATTTCTCATTTTTCACCATCCATTAAACAATAACCATCGAAGTATTGCATTTACCAATGTACGTCTGATCACTTTGAATTTCTTGTTTTCTTCATAATGTTTACCATTACCCGATGCTTTTGCAATTTGAACTTTGTCATCAATGATTAATACACATCAAAACAACAGCAAAACGTTGACAAATTTGTCATGACTAGTTCACCTGTGAAAATTTTTTAGTGCTTATTCCGTTCCTTATTCATTTTCGTGTACATCGTGTCACGCTGCCTTTTTTTTGTTAAATTCAACTTTTCTTCTCCCGCTCTGTCACGTTTGTGTTATAATTTTTGCAGCGCGAACTCTCGCTTTTAACGAACCTCCAATCTTCCCGTACAGCCATCATGTTCATCTCATGTTGCTTCTCCCAATTTATCCTCGTGAGTGTCGCCGTCTGTGCTGTGATTTCGGTCAATCGCGTGCCTCCACGACTACAACAGGTAATTCGATCATATTGTTTGACGATGCAAACGTCGAGTCATTGTTGTTCGTTGATAAATTAGCCACCTGAGCCAAGCTCGAGAAACTCATCGTCCACGATAATCGTGGACCTATCGATTCAGAGCCAACACTACGCTGCCAACGACAATGGAATTCCATCAACTTCCACCGACACGTTCGTTCTCGCCATGTTTCCGTTGGCCCAAGGCTCTTATTTATTCAATAGTGCTGGGGAACAAGAATGGCAGATTCGACATGACACCGATACGACATTCGTCGTCTATGGTACGTTGCAAATTTTTCAGTCGTTGCGCGTTTCTAGATTTTCAGAAACTTGAAAACTCTTATAAAAAATTTTTCAAAGGTAGAGGACCTGGCACAAACCTTGGGAATAAAACAAAATTTGGATAGTCCAAGAATTTAGAGAATGAATTAAACAATTGTCAGGTCACTTCTGTAATGTTCTTTTTGGAAAATCTGTGCATACGTCACAACATTCTAATCATCTATCATATATTCAAACTTATACAGGGGCAGACATGTAAGGAGATTTTTTGTTAAATCATATCTTTTCCAACACATAAATATGCGAGAATAGAGTAAAAGATGCAAATTAAGACATTAATAAGTAAAAGTCCCCTCCACAACAGAAGATCGTGGTATTTCATTATGTAATTTCGCATCTTCTGTTCGAGAGTGTTCCTCTGTTAAGACTCGATAAAAAAATTGTTAGAAAGTCATTTGAGAGTATTCATTTTGTCGGACAACAGGCTTTGTCTGTCTTTGATTCCATTCACATGTGAGCTTTATCATACTTCTCCCAACATGTCAATAAGTAGCAGAACTCCAGCTTTTTTTATCTTACTTGTCAAAACGTTGTGCATACGACTCTAGTGTATTATCTTCATCGTTTTCAATCCCTTTTTCATTGTTTACTGTCGAATCAATGGTGGCGTTCAAGTACGAGAGTGTTGTTAGATCAAATGTGTAGTTAGATAGACTACGAGGTCGCGCATGGTGTTGTCATTTCGAATATATCGACAAATGAATTCATCATGACAATACTGTCATACGAATACTCATTGTGCTAGCGAAGGCCTTTTTGTCTTCGCCATTTTGACCTATTTTGATTGCTCGGAGGGGCAAAAAAGTAATCAATGACGAAAAAATTTCTGAGGAGCTTCATGATTGAAGTCCAGCCCGTTTGTAGGACTCGCCATCACATCCACTGGTGGTATCCAACTGGAACTGTTCGTTCACTGGATGATTCCTCGTATCTTCATCATCAAAGTCGAGATGCAGGATAATGGTTAATAACAAGAGTTGATGTGAATAGTTTTCGTTTACTGTCCACACTAATTCAATGACGTAATTATTTGCGATGCCATTCAGATAAGCATTTGGATCGAACAGAGTTATTCTATGCGAAGCTTTACTTGCGAAGAAAGTTTCACCAACCGAAGATGCGACTTGGGGCAATGGAGAGTACCCCGCTTGGTCTTAAACAATTTTGGCTGAAGCTTTTTCCGATTTCAATAAAATTCGAAGCGTTTCGTTTTACTCTGGGTCACCAATCTATCTTGAGATTTAGATGTGTCGAAAAATAAAATAATCCTCACCAGCACATATTTTTACTGCTGATCTTACTAATTAGAATAGAAAGAATGACTTTTTGAATCGATATTTGGTTCATGTCTCATGAATGAATATGTAATTACTGAGCTTAAAAGAATGACATGTTCGAAATTGACATGAAGACTAAATTGAGTCTTGTGTTATCAAATTTCCGAATACTTGCATTTTTTTTCGAAAAATGTTTCCTCTTGAACTCCAGAGTTAACTCAATAACTCAATTTTAGAGAAAAGACGCTTATATTGTATGCTCACCTTTGCTTTTGTGATTTCCAAGCTTAAGTGACATTTCGGTGGAGGCGATGGATTTGATTTAAACCGCGTGAAAGACAAGGGAGACATTTGTCGAACAAAATTGAAATCCTGTGACACATGCAAATGCTTCCAGTTTTGTAATTCTAATTCCGAATATGCTGTTAGTTTAACCGCCACGATGGCATATTCGCGAGAAATCAGTTACATATCGTACAGAGAGAGCTATTTTTCTATTCGAACACACAAGAGAGATTTTTCCTTACTGCTATGGGTAACTTGTTTAACATACACCCTAAAGATATTTTTCTATCCCATCAGCATATCTACTAGCACCAAACATCTGATGGCTGGGGTTGACATAGTTTCAATATTAGTTAGTGATTCTGAAAGGCAGTAAATCGCACGCATAGCAGACTTTTCTCACTTCCTCCCAGTTTCGTAAAATATCCTATGCTCTGATCTCTTCGTACCATCAGTGCCTTTATCTCCGAAGATCCACTGGATTGAGTATTTGTAGATCGATTGTAAAAGTTTCAGAAAGCATAAAAATTCAAAAGCATTAAAATCACTTTTTGCAGCTATCTTCATGACTTATCGATCATTACAAAGAACATTTCACTTCCTCCGTTCCTCTTCAAAATAAAAACCTTAAAAAATCGATAGTCATGCAAAAATTGAATTTTAAAAAGTAAATTTTTCACTTCCTACAGACAATAGAAATATCGGGAGCCTGCTCTGTAACTTATATGAGCGAAAATGTCGACTTGTGATTTGAGTGTTTCGAAATAGGTAAACACATAAGAGGCGGTAGAGCACAAAACGGATCCAAGATCTATCATTGAAGAGACTAAAGGGAATTGTGAATGCCGTGAATATATTTCCTGTAAACTTTATCATGTAAAACGTTAAAATAATATTTAACATGGATTTAATACCCACTCGTTATTTTATTACTTGATGAAAAACGGTTGTTTTTTTTTCCTAAAGATCTGTACCACAAATGAATGTTTTTAAAGAATAGTTGTCATACTAGTAAGCCCTTCTATTTTCACATGATTCAAATAAAACGAAATAGATTTCGTTATTGCCTAATCAGCGCTGCCATAAAAGACAAAAAAAGAAGAAAACTTTAAGTTGTTCAAAACCACTCCTTTACCTTCATAGTCATTGGAGTAACCAAACTATAGTAAAGTCTCTCGAATATTAACACCAACGGGAATTTCTAAGAGAGTTCAATATATACAGTTTTTCATGTGTTTTCGCAGAAACAACTTTCTGTGACTTTGGATAGTTCAAAGAGCTCATGTGCTTTTTTTTCTGATCTATTTACTTTTTTGGGATCAGTTTGAAGAAAAGATCGGTTTATTTTACATTGAAAACATCATCCTTGCATTGATTGAAATCGTGTGTCCATTCATTGAATGATGTGGTGGAATATTTTTCAAGTCAATCATTGCTAGCCTTCGATTGATCGAGCTCCTTCATGTAGAATAGAAGCCAAGATTGAACTATTTTTGGCTCGTTGAAAAGAAAATGATGCTAATGTCGTTTCACTGATTTGAGAACGAGCGTCGTTCTTCAGTTTTCCGTTTGGTATCTGTGTTTCAATTCATTTCATAGTCCGACAGTTACTCTTGCTTACTTTTGAGAATGTTTGAAACGGATCCGATCGAATAGTGACATTTCTCTCTCACAGTTTTCAACGAAAAGACCGTTCCTTCCATAATTGTGTCAGATCGATTAAACCTTATCTTCCAAAGTTGAATTGTGAAAGACAAGTTGATGTCAACTATGTCTTGAATGTAGCACAACGAAAAATATCCACAAGAAAGAAGTTATTCTAGTTGACAGAAATGAAAACAAATCATTTAAAATTGAGAGTTGTTCACAGTAAGAAGTTTTACTCTACATTGTACAAGAGACAGAGCGTTTGGTCGATTGGTTCATACCATTGCCATATTGGAGAGGACCTGTACACTATTTGTGTGATTGTTTTTCTCAATTCTCGAAACGCTATTGGGATGGAAACTTAAGGCATATCGAATTATTGCAAATCATATAAACCTTGAAAACCTTGAAAATCTACAAAATAAATGAAAATTGCCATTCTTTTCTGTGTTTCGGAGTGCCAGGATATATTGATGTTTGTCAAGTTATTCAAAAGTTTCTGAGTCGTCAAAAAATTAGTCACATTTCATAAAGTTTGTTGATCTAGGAGAATTCTCTGGTTAATCTGAAGAAGATCATCATACATTTCATTGCGTGTCGTTTGAATGCTTTAGGTGAGAATTTGAATGGAACTGTTCTATCATTTACGAGTCATCCTCAGTCGTGTTTATTGGAACGCAAAGATCATTTATACACATTGATGGTGAACGCTTCTGATCCCTATCAGCGTATGAGTGAACGCGCTTTCTTGACGATCAACCTGCCATATTATAGTTCGACGTTATACGTTTGTCTTCAGCCACCTAACGCGTCATATCCTTTTCACCAAGGCGATCGGTAAGCTTTTCTAATCTGTTTTAAGTCACACTCGATTAACTAAATCTAGGCCGGCTCTAAAAGTGATTGTTACTCGACGTACTCTGCCGGTCTGGGCAACGATTCTCTGCTTGATACTTCTTCTCTCTCTATCGGGTCTCTTCTCCGGTCTCAATCTGGGCCTTATGTCATTGACACCACACGATCTCGCCGTCATTCAAGAAGCTGGAACACCCAATGATAGAATATACGCCAAGCGTATTTATCCAGTACGTAAACGAGGTAACTTTTTACTATGTACAATTCTCTTGGGCAATGTTCTCGTAAATTCGACAACGACCATTCTCCTCGATACATTGATAAGTGGTTTGTTGGCCGTGGCAGGTGCCACTTTTGCGATTGTCATTTTTGGTGAAATCATTCCGCAAGCCATTTGTTCACGACACGGCCTCAAAATTGGCTCTAAAACGATTATTCTCACCCGCATTTTCATGATCATTACATCTCCTATTGCTTTTCCTATCAGTAAAGTTCTCGATGTTATTCTCGGTAAGCAAAAAAGCTTAGCGGTATTTTTTTTTCGCAAAGAAAACGATCCTGACTCTCATTTTCAGGCGATGAAGTCGGCGCCACTTATACACGCGATCAGATGAGCGCATTATTAAAACATACACAAACGACTGATATTGAAGACCGTGAGAAAAACATCATGACCGGTGTGTTGAGTTTGAAGATGAAGAAAATTCGTGATATAATGACCAATTTAATCGATGTCTTCATGCTCGAAGCCGATCGAGTTGTTGATGATGAACTCGTCTTGACTGTTCACGGCTATGGATATTCACGCATACCGGTTTACGAAAACCAACGGTAAGAAATCAACTGAATGTTTTAGTCAAACATCGTACGTCAATTGTTTTTCTCCTCTAGTGATAATATTATCGGCCTCGTGAATATTCGTGATTTTGCCCTACTGGATACGGAATCAGGAAAATTTACTGTGAGAAGTTTGGTGGATTTTTACAAGCATCGTTATGGCAAAGTGATTATGCCCAATGATTCGTGTTATGACGTTTTCAATAAACTTAAGAAAGGTAACGAACAAAGATCGTTGCATTTTTATCGCCGTAAAGTATTTTAGAACAATATCATATGGGTGTTGTGGTTGAACATAACAATAGCAGTGAGAAAGATCCAATGGCAAGAGCAGTAGGCATCGTTACATTGGAAGATATTATCGAAGAAATGATTCAAGAAGAAATCATCGATGAAACTGATGTATTTAGTAAGTCAAACGAGTTTGCGAGAGATCGTTTATCAGACAAAATTTGAGTCTATTTAGCTGATAATCGTGGTAAAGTGCGAAATATGTTATCACAAGCGCCCGACTTTTCGGCATTCATGCGTCAAACGGAAACGTCTTATGATACGACGAAAATATCAGCTCAAATGAAAGTTGCCATTTTACAATTTCTTTCAACAAGTACGTGAGTCAGCATGTGCACAACGTTACTACGAAATGTGCAAGTTTCTCGCTTGCTTTCAGTGTTAAATCTTTTATCTAAGGAAGCAGACATCGCGCACAATCTTTTACTCAAAACTTAGATCAGCCAGACGGACTGTTGTTGATCGTATCATGTTCCATAAGCTGTTTTCTCGATTTTCATAATCATCGATCGGTATTGCATCACTTGCTAAGATGACAACTGCTCAGGTGGCTTAACTCTTTACCCTCCAGCGGTCCTGAAGAACCACTGATACCATAACCTTACAGATCGAGAATTAGTCAGACGAATCTATCAATGACGTGGTCTGATCCAGCGTGCGTCTATTAAACAAATCTGACAGAAGAAAATTTCGAATTTTGATAGACTATTTTTCTCAAATTAGATTCTCCCTGAAAGCTTGTTCCTCATGCCAAAATGCAAAGAATTTATTGATATGTCCAGTTCTAAATATGAATCTATCGTTTGCTTGTAGCCTATAAAGCACGATATGCCACAAAAATATTCACTGTTGAACAGTAAAATGAGACAAGATGTAATAATCAATTTCTAAAAAAGTTAGATTGAGTTTTAATATTTTTTGTATGTTGTAAGGTTTCTTCTTCGAAAACTACCAAGCATCAAAAAGTCATTCTTGACCCGAGGAATCGGATTTCTCAAAAATTGGCTTTAGAAAGAGAATTATTTGTCTATAAACGAACATAAAATATACGTCTCGCTAAGAGCTGAATTAATTGATCTAAACTAATAACAAACTTGAAATGTTTGCTCGACGATAACAACGAAACGCAGATCAGACATTGTGTAGAGCCAAGTTGACTTAATGAAAAACATTTCTCGTTTTCACTCTAATAAATTACAAAGAAAACACAACATCGACCAACGTAAAATTCTGTACAAACTTCACTTTCAGCCTTTTCAACTCAAATATATTTTGTATAAAGTTTGTTGCAATAGTGATTTGTTGTGTTTCACAGTTCAGACAGGAGAATAGAACTAACAAATTTTGAAAAGCACAAATTACACTGAAATAGCATACAAGTCAAATTCTTAGAAACCCACTGTCAATAATGACTTATTCTCAAAAGATTGTCTTGCCTGTATATTTCATAGGTGTTGAACAGTTTACTTCACGGTTCATATCGTCTCACATCCTCGCTCGTTTATTAAATATCCAATTCTACCAGGAATTCGAATACGATGAAGATAGAGCTAAAAACGACAAAGTAACTTACATCTACGAGTATGGAAGACCGGCCGATTATTTCGTGCTCATTCTCAACGGGCAAGCAGAATTGATCACCGGCAAAGAGAAAATTGTTAGCGAAGTCGGTCCATTTTCTTACTTCGGTGTGAGTGCACTTTGTGTAAGCAACAATGATCATTGTAGTTTCAATCGAATTGTAATATTTTTCGTTTTGTTTCTTTTTATAAAGAATCCTGGTAACAAAGTGGAAGATATGTTACGTTTGAAAGATCTCAAATTTCGACCATTTATACCGGACTTCAGCTTGCGAGTTTGTGAAGATGTGCAAATTTTACGCATTCGTCGAACACATTGGTTAGCGGCTATTCGTGCGACTTTCTTTGAAAATAAACAGAAAGCAAATGGTGGTCCACCAATGCTCAATTCCGACGGCGAGCAGATTGATTTGTTGACACAAGAATTGGAAAAAGCCAACTGTGTCGATCGACCAGAGACAAGTACCAGAACTTCAAGTGAAACAAGCGATAAAATACGTGCTCGAGCAATGTCTATGACGCCAACAACGGGTTCGGGGCCTACCAAAGCAAAGCATGAACGTTTTTTCAGTCGACTTCGTTCAAAAACTAGTTCGCATAATGTAGACAAGACCTCGTCGGAAAGTGCGACGACTTCGAATCGAAATACGCTGAGTTTAACCGGCCAACAACGCCATCATTTATCTCGTACTGATCAGACTTAACTACAGTCATCGTTCACTCGCGGACGTTCGTCTTCAGAGAAAAGTCGTCTGCCTGATTAGCAAACAGTATTTCTTCGCGTGCACATACAATAGTACCGGCAGGTGTTACTCTGCCTTATTCTTTCATGTAGGATAATCTTCGGCTTTTTTCTTCTTGCTTTTATGAAAGATAACTTCTTTCTACTTAATTTTGTCTCCGTATGTTAGTTGGTAGATCTGATTGATTAGTCAAATGGTTGCTCTCCTGGCTTTTCTCGTGCTGCTATATCTAAATGATTCTGTAGAATAATAACATTAGGTGTGTGTATTTCATCCGATTGTTGAAGCACATTTTCAATATTAATTAATAAATGATCAAGAAATTTTAATTGATCATTGCAATAATAATCATAGTAAATATTTAATAATAGCATTTCATTCATTTCAATAGTGTTGATAATTGGTGGATTAGCATTTAATATCGGTTACATCTACTTCGTTAGGCCCCCCCCCCTTCCTCCCACTTAAAAATCTAACTTCGACAAGGTACATGAGATGTTGATGGAGCTTTGCGTAGATGTTGAACTCATGGAACCACATTGGTGGAAAAATTTCACGCCTCTAAACCTTACAATTGAGGAGATATCCAGGAACCAAGCTGTAAAACATGGCTTTTACGCAAACAAAATTTTTTCTAATATAGTTCAAGCTGCAGAGTTCGGGTTGCTTTTATTTGAAAGAGAACTCATTACTGCTTTGGAAGAAAAAAAGGGTTTTTTTATTTTTACTTTGTTGCATTTTAAAGATCACTGAAATCCCAAATCTGAAATTCCTAGACATGATTTTCTAGAAAACCCACGGTTTCTCTAGCATTGACGACCAATTAGAAAATTCCGTTCTCTCATCTGAAAGACTATGTATGTATCTATCGATGGAAAAAAAATACGGCTCTCTTGATTGAAGTACATTGAAAAAAATTGTTCACATTTCGATCAATAGCGAAAAAATTAAGTTTGAGAAAAATGCAAAACAATTTTTTTCATTTAGTCTTCCTATTATTAATTAAACCTAAGGTAAAGCCTGAATATATTAAATGTCAATCGAAACTATTGTCGACGTACATTAACATATCCTCATATAAGATATAGCACGATAGATTATGCGAACTATAATTGTCTTTATATTCGTTATACCATCGAACAACATGATAAAGATAGAATATGGGTCAACATTTAGATTTTCATGCGTCCAAAATTTCTTCGCCATTTCAAATGCTAGAATGTTTGGGCTGGCATCAAAATGAAGACAAAAATGTGCTCTACAACTTAAAAGAGTCCAATTTTTCGATTTTCTTCTAGTTTATGTTCCTAGAAAAACTTATCGGATGAAATTTAGAAAACCTAAAGGAGGGAGGGTAGTTTCAAAACGATTATTTTTTTAATAAACATTAATAGGAAAACCGAAAAACCAGCTCTGTTAAATTACAGAGCTAGTTTATGCCTTCATTTTGACAGTAAGCGGAACTTTCAAGCGTTTAAAATGGCAGAGAAATCTGGAATGCACAAAAACATAAAAATCAAACTTTTTCAGGATAAACGTTATTTTTCTGCATGAAAGTTCAGAAAAATCTATGTAATATCCTTAAAGCTCATCATAAAATCAATAAACTACAGTGCATTTGAGACTAGACACTTTGGTCTATCTAACGAGCTATAAATCACAAAATCGATACATTTGACCAAAATTGTCTTTTTCTGAAGGGATACTTAAAGGTATCCAACGTTATTCAATATTATTATTTTTGACACATTGATCAATTAATTGAGTTGGTTCATTATATGGTTGATGTAATGTAGGAAAAATAGATAAAGTAATATTAGCTGTTATTGTAAATTGTAATTAATGATAATAGTGTAGATACTTATTACGTTGAGTATTATCTTTTGATTCGAGCAGACTATGTCAATAATCAGCCTATTAAAATATTTAAACGATGAAGACGATCTGATTTCAATAAATTAAGAAGAAAATTCCATGATCATTTATTAATTATGATTGAACAGAAAAGTTCAGCATATTTACTCAATTCAAGAGCAGGTGGAGTAATAATATCTGATTTACATAATAATACAACTGTGCTATGTAAAAGAATAATACGACATATTCATCAAATCGACGAGAGTAGTCATGTGTGAACAATGATCATATATTACAACGAAAGAAAAAGAATGTTGTTTTTGCATATGGGCTATTTTTTTGGCTAATCAATCGTTATCTTCAGTATTATGTGCACTGCATATCTTAGAATTGAGAATAGTGAACACTACTGAATGCATTCGATCGTAACACTCATATACTAATCTCATTTGATTGTGATATAAAGCCCACGACACATTAGAAGACCCCCCTTAAATCAATGATGCAACACACATATTAGAAGACCCCCCTTAAAAAACCGATATTTTAAAATAGTTCCTGGATTTTATTCACCTTTTTAGTATTTAAGCTCATAATTATGTCTAAATTCAATACGAAAAATATTTTCCTTTTATTCTTATAACAAAGTACCAAATCTGAGCGACTGAAATCTTGCGAAGTAGTTTACAGGAAAGATCTATCTATTAAAGATTGTGTTTCTTTGTTAACAACATCTTGTGGAGTCATTTCAGTACTCTTTTGCAGCTTAATTTACAAAT